TACCACTACTACTGCTACTACTACTACTACTACTACTACTGTTGCTGTTACTGCTGCTGCTGCTACTACTGTTACTGCTGCTGCTGCTGCTACTACTCCTACTCCTACTCTTATTACTGTTTACTACTGTTGCTGCTACTACTAGTAGTGTTGCTGCTGCTGCTACTACTACCACTACCACTACTACTACTACTACTACTACTGTTGCTGCTACTGCTGCTGCTGCTACTACTACTACTACCACTACCACTACCACTACCACTACCACTACTACTACTACTACTGTTGCTGCTACCACTATTATTATTATTTTCAAAACACCTTGGGAGATGAATTGTCATTATCCCTACCTTATAGTTGAAGCAGCTGAGGCTGACAGAGGTTAAGTGACTTGCCCAGGGTCATACAGCTAGTAAGTGTTTGAGGCTGTATATGAACTCACGTTTTCCCAACTCCAGGTCCACTGCACCCTGGCTGCCTCCAAGGTATTTTAAGTCATTGAGGATTCCACACAATGCAAGGTTTTACTACCAATAATAGCTAGTATTAGAGAGAACTTTAAGGCCTCCAAAGCATTTTTCTTATGTCAGGCTATCTGAGCCACAGATTCATTCATCATAGATCATTGTTGACAAAGGTGCTGAGCACTTGAACTGGACTGAAGAGACATGAGGGCAAACCCTAGTTCCAACACATACCACCTGTACAAATTGAGTAAATCACCTCTCAGCCTCAGCTTTTCTCATCTTTAAAATGAAGGTGCTACTTTTATTCCCTACCTCCTAGAGCTGTGGCAAGGAAAGCCCTCTGGGAATTTCAGAGTGCAGCGATGTTTGTGTTATAACACGATTTAAAGCATTTCATATTCCTTTTCACCAGAGAGAAGGCCAACAAATTCCCACTAGGCACATTGGACTCTGCTGCCTTCTGGGTTCTTCTAGTACCATCCTGAGATCAGTAACAATAACAGAATTCCTCACAGCCTTAATGGGTGCAGTGCTCTAAACAGCAGGTGAGGGAGACCGTACGTCAACCCCATTGAGGGATAACACTGAGGTACTTGTGGGTATCATCCCATTGAAACAGAGGAAGCTGCTTCTGGAGCAAGGGAAGGTGGCAGTAGACAAAGTGCTGAGTCTCTGATCAAACAATCTGATTTCATATGCTAGCATGTGTCTTAACACAGCACCACTTCAGGTCAGTGTCTGGCACAGAGTAAGCTCTTAATAAATGCTAGTTACCAAATGACTGACTCATTATCTAAGAGTTCATTTCTCTGGGCCTCAGTTTCCTCCTTTGTAAAAGGAGGGATTGTATTGAAGGTCTTTCCAGTTCTAATTTATGATTGCCAACCCCTTCTTTTTTCCATTCTCCCTTCGCTCTGTCTCTGTCTCTCTTTGTCTCTCCATCTTTATATCTCTCCATCTCTGTCTCTGTATGTCTGTCTGTCTCTCTGTCTTCTTCTGCTGCCTCTTCTTCTGCTTCTTCTTCTTCCTCCTCCTCCTCTTCCTCTTCCACAGCTCTTGTCTAAGGCCTGCCAGTGACCATCATTTACCTTGCTTAGCAATTGGTGGCTTTTGGGTCCAATGGAGTCAAAGTGTTTAAAGCTACAGAGTGGCATTTAGGTACAGGTGCTACTATTTAGGTGAAGAATATAATAGACAAAAAGCTTGAAATCAAGTGCTCTTGCATTCAGATAGGGCTTAAATACCACATGCCTGACTTGAGAGGCAGCAGATTCAGTGTCTAAAAGGCCAGCCTTGGAGTCAGGAAGACATGGGTTCAAGTCTTACCTCTGATTTATAGCTGTATGACTTTGGGTAAGTCATTTAACCTTTCACTTCCCTAGGCTACTTTCTCTAAGACTGTAGATTATAAAGCAGGTGTTCATTTGCTTTGGTAGCAGGAGTTTGTTCATTGACAGTTCCTAACACCAATAAAATCACAAATCTAGCCCAAAATAATCAATGGAAGAACTCTTTAGAATGGTGTAACAAGAATATTAGCAGTCCAACTCATAACTGAATCATTTGTCTCTTCTACAACAACCCCCTGTACCTCAGTTTCTTTATTTTTCAAATAAGAAAATTGGATTACAAGATAATAACACTAATAATAGCTAATGTTCTATAGTGATTTCCAATTTACAATGAGCCTTCTCTCATGTACTTTCATCCAATCTAGATAACCTATAAAGTCCCTTGCAAATCTCTGGATTAAGATCCTTAGAAATGGTTCTTTACTCTCCAGTGACAGGAAGATCACTACCTCCTGTGGGAGTCCATTCCGTGGCTGGACAGTTCCAACCTATCTTTGTAATTTTGACTTTCAGAGTCTTTCCGCCCACAGGTCTCACCCCTGATTGTGAAAGACCGTGCACAGGATCGTAGATTTTGATTGAGAAGGTACTTGAGAGGCCATCAAGTTAAACCTCCTCCTTTTAAAGATGAGGAAAGGAAAACCTTAAGTGACTTGCCAAAATTTGAAACCAGGTCTTCTGACTCTTCTGACTTCTGACCCTGCACCATGAAGGTGAGAGGAAAAACATCAAGATTTAAAAAACAAACTGATAACCACATGGAATACTGCCCCCTCCTCCAGCAACACCGCTTCTGTTTTCCCTCCCTTCCCCATCCTTTCTACTCACAAACAGGTTTTCTTCTTGGAGGTCCATGAATTCTTTCTCCAGCAACAAGTAAGATCTGCAATGCATGGTGGGGCTGCAGGGATGCGGGCGCCTGCCCACACACTAGCTTGCTCCCAAGCCGACTCAAGGGCAGGTGTCCTTCCAAGCACTTCCTGGAGCTGTCCTACGAGGGGCTTCTCACCGCTTTCAAGGGGAGGAAAGCCTCAGTCCGGGGGCTCACGAAGGCTCCGCTTCTCCTGGGCTCAGGATGGTTAAGCCAAGGATGCTTGGGATAGTAAACGCCTTGCCGGCGATGGGCTTTCCCGGCGGTTGGGCTGCGTCACCTCCCAGCCCAGGCCAGGGGAGGATGTCCGAAGGCCTGCAGCCCCTGGCCAGGGATGTGCCCACCCACAGGACAGCGAGAAGGGAGCTCCAAGGGTGTGTGCTACTGCTAACAGCAATGTAGGTCATAGGGAGGTGACGGATGATGGTGATGGATGGAGGACTTGTTGGGCCACTGTGTGTGGGTGTTGTGGGCGTTGCTGGGGGGATTGGTTGCCCTGGCAACCGCGAGGGGGCGGGAGGAGAAGCCTCCGCCTTCTCCAATCAGCGATGGGGAAAGGCGGGCGGGCCCAGTTCCGAGGTCAATCGTCCAACGGTCCCACTTTGGAAAGGCGGGGACTACCCAGCCCAGAGGCCGTTGTCCTGGAGACTGGCAGACGCCGAGCATCATCCGGGCCGGCCCAGCCAGGGAGAGTCCAGCCAGGGCTAGTCAGGGGCTGCGAAGTCAGAGCTGGGGGCCCTTCTGGTGGTCTCTGTGGGATCCTAGAGCTCCAGGAGCGAAAGTGTCCCTTTTACATAGGAGCCAGCCCCCCCAACAGTCGGACTAGTGATTCGGACCTCTAACCCACTCAGCCCAAGTCTGGGAATGTTAGAGCGGTGGCAAGCGTCCTTAGAAACCCAAACATCGGAACGTGGAACGTAGAACGCAGGAGGACGAAGGCACTGAGACCCTCGAATGTCCAAGGCGAGAGGAGAGAGAGTCTTTAGAAACAGAGCCCAAGCCCTGGGAGGGGTCTTAGTACTCTAAGATGGGGAAAGGAAGGGAGAGTGGCTACTGTATAGAGCTGATGGCCTGGGGGAGAATTGAAGGGTCAAAGGATTGGAGGTCACAGGAGGACAAAGAGTAGCCAATAAGATCATTGTCAGATATCATTAGATTTCAGAATTTTCTAACATGGAGGTGGTACATCTGTGTGTGTGGCTGAGGTAGAGTAGAGGAGTAGCTTATAGGAAGTGAGTAAGTTAAGGAACTGAGTGGTTAGGGTGTTTAAGGGAGAGTCAATACCTGTGTTGAAGCCTCCTTCTTAATATGAGAGCAGGCACTGGAGAAAAGTAGGGGAAAAAAACTCTTATTAGAGAATGTCAGAGCTGGGAGAGACCTTGGAAACAGTAGGTCTTAGAACAAGGACCATAAAACTGTTAGAACAAGAACTAGTTAGAGGAGGAGAGAACCTTAGAAACATAGGATGATATAGAACGAGGAACATAGAATGCAAAATCAGGAAACACATTAGGGCAGGAAAGCACCTTTAGTATATAGGGTGTGGGAACAAGGAACATAGAACAGCAGGGCAAGAAAGATGGTGGAGAAGAACATCTAAACACAGGCTATCAGAGCTACTGTTAGAACAAGAACTAGTTAGAGGAGGAGAGAACCTTAGAAACATAGGATGATATAGAACGAGGAACACAGAATGCAAAATCAGGAAACACATTAGGGCAGGAAGGCACCTTTAGTACATAAGGTGTGGGAACAAGGAATGTAGAACAGCGGGGCAAGAAATATGGTGGAGAGGAACATCTAAACACAGGCTATCAGAGCTAAAGGGGAACTAAAAAACATGGAATGTTAGAGCTGAAAGGAACCTTCACCACGTCCAATGTTAGGACACAGCGTGGATGATGTCAGAGCAGGAAGAGTCCTTAGAGTGGTACAACGAGGCACATAGGAGGAACAAAGATGCAGGCAGCTCTCAGCAGCACAGAACACAAGGACATGGAGCAGATCAGAGCTGGAGGGAAGCTTAGAGACCATCAAGTCCTTCTATTTTATAGAATAGACAAACGAGGTCCAAAAAGGGTAGTTGCCCAAAATCACCCAGACAGTAAGGAGCAGAACCAGAGCTCAAAGGCAGGGGAGACACTGTTGTGGAATTGAATTGGGGTAAGGGGGGGAGGACTGATGTATTTCATTCAGTAAATGCTTGTTGATTGACTGATTGTATTTGGAGTCAAAGGACCTGGGATCAAATCTCACCTCCACTACTTACTAGCTGTGCGGCAAGTCACTCATACTCTCCGGGCTTCATTCTCCTCATCTTTAAGATAAGGGAATCGTATTTAGATGATCACTGAGGCTCCTTCCAGTTCTAAATCTTCTGATTTAGCCCCTACAAATTCAGTTCTCTCTCCCTAGCCCTACCCTTCTCCCATTCCTCCCCTTCTTTGTGTATAAACCAATTGGCTTCCCCAAGGTGAAATGAATGGACTGGACTAATTGATCTCCAAGGGCCCTTCCCACTCTAGAAACATGCTACAATTTTACCCAATTCCAGAATGATTCTCTTAATAGCTCCAGGCACGTGGAGACACTCCATAAATAAACTTGTTCTGAAAGGGAAGGTACTTTGATGCCATTGCCTCAGATGAACCCAGTTTCCCACTCCATTGAAACTGCAGTCCTAATCAAACTAATCCTTTCTCATATTCTTTAATAGGTACTATTCCCTCTCTGATATGTATATATATATATATAATATATATATTTATATATATACACATACACTCACACATACATATATACATTTGTACACATATATACACACATATATACATATACACACATGTATATATATGTGTATGTATACACACACACATATATATATGTATATATATATATCCCTCTCCATTTAATCCAGTAATCATTTATTAAGCAAATAATGCTTGCAAAGCCTATATGGAAGATGGCAGGAGTACAGGCAGCAGCCCAACTGAACTCTCCCAACATTCCCCTCCAAACAACATTAAAATAACTCTTCAAATCAAATTATTGAGCAGCAGAGCCAATAAAAGGTCAGAGTGAGACATCTTTCCAGTCTAAGACAATTTATGAGGTCTGCAGGAAAGGTCTGTGACACTGGGTAGAGACCCACCTGGAGTGGTACACAGCCATTCCTCGATTGATAAACGGTCAAAGGATATGACCAGACAGTTTTCAAAAGAAGAACTCAAAGCTATCTATAGTCATATGGAAAAAAATGCTTTAAAATACTAGTGATTAAAGAAATGCACATTAATACAACTGTGAGGTACCACCTCACACCTATCAGTAATGACAAATGTTGGAGGGGATGAGGGAAAATAGGTACACGATAAATGTTGGTGGGATAGTGAATTGGTCCAACCTTTCTGGAGAAAAATTTGGAACTGTGACCAAAGGGCTATAAAACTGTGCATATACTTTGAACTAGCAATACTGCTACTAGATTTATAACCCAAAGAGATCAAGAAAAAGGAAAGGGACTTATATGTACAAAAATATTTATAGCAGCTCTCTTTGTGGTAGCATAGAATTGGAAACTGAGGGGATGCCCATCAACTGGGTAATGGCTGAACAAGTTGTGGCATATAATTGTGATGGAGTACTATTGTGCTATAAGACATGACAAAGGGAGTGGTTTCAGAAAGGAAAAAAAAAACATGGCAAGACCTATGTGAACTGATGCAAATTTAAGTAGAAAATCAAAAGATCCTTGTGCACAGTAACAGCAATGTTGTAATAATGATCAACTGGAAAAGACTCCGCTACTTTGATCAATGTAATGATCCAAGACAATTCCAAAGGACTCATGATGAAAAAATGCCATCTGCCTCCAGAGAGAGAACTGATGAACTTGGGGTGCAAATTGAAGTACAATTTTCTTGATTTCTTTTTTTGGCAATATAGCTAATATGAAAATATGTTTTTCATGATTTCACATGTATAATTGATATAATTTTTCTTGCCTTCTCAGTGGGTGGGAGTGGGGTAGGCACAAGGGAAAGAATTTGGAATGCAATTTTGAAAGAAAAGAATATTAAAAATAAATAATATTTTTTAAAAAAGAAAAAAGCCTACATGAAATATTTTTTCCTAAATTTGAATGCGACAAGTCACATTACAAAAAAGAGGTTTGTATGACAAAAGCATGTTTGGTACTCCAAAGAAAGGCCTACAGAAGTTGGTTGTATCACAGAAAATTCTCTGCAGAGAATAATCCTGGAACTAAATCACTTTCATTGGTTGCCATCACACTGATAGCAATTATTTACCGATCATCTGAAAGCAACAGTTGAATTCAAGGCTGTTGTCACTGTAGGCAAGAAAGCAGTATGGTGAGTAAGAGAGGAAGTTATGTCGCCAGGCTACATGCGTTGCATTGTTAGTGTTTTTATTCCTTTTGAGTTCCTTTTAAAAGTTTTGTTCCTTTTGCTTTTTTGAACTTGTATGCCATTATCATTACAACATAATTGATCACGAAATCCTGGCTCTGGAAAACAGAAGGGGTGCTGTTTGTTCTTCTTTTCAGTATGACACTCCACCTCTTAACTCTGTGCCTTTGCGTTGACTATCCCATAAGCCTTAAATGTTGTCCTTCCTCACTTCGGCCTTTTGGATTCCTTGGCCTTTTTCAACACTCCAATTTCACTTCCTTCAGGAGGTCTCTCCCAATTCCCCCTGCTACTAGTGCCTTCCAGATCAGATTTCCTTCTAGAGATTTTTAATTTGTATATAACTAGTTATTTATAGGTTGCCTCTCCCATTAGGATGTGAGTGAGCTCCTTGAAAAGAGGGGCTGTGTTCTTGCCCTTTCTTTGTATCATCCTCATTAGTACAGTGCCTGGCACTGAGGAAGACCTTGTTAAATGCTTGTTGACTGAGAGATGCTTCTCCTCCTAACTGTCCCATTTCTGTTGAGGACACCACCATCACCCATATTTGTAGCCAGAAGGTAATCCTTTTCTCTTCACCCTCACTCCCTGAATCCACTGGATTGCCAAATTTTATCACTGTAATCTCTACAATATCTCTTCTGCCCGTCACCTCTCCACTTATACTACAACGTCTCTGATTCAGTCTCATGATCTTTCACAAATCTTAGTCTAGAAACTAGAACTAAGCTGGCAGTACTCTGAATATGATTTCTACTTGTACTGATCAACAAAGGGCAAATATGATTTTGGAGCAACTGAATTGGGTCAACTTTGACACTGTAGTTATGAAAGGATCCAAAAGACAGAAGGAAAATGCAACTAAATCAATGGCTGATAGTGAGGGTCAGCTGGTCATTAAGCATTATTAAGTGCCTATTGGATGCCCAGCACTGTGCTAAGTGCTGGGGATACAAAGAAAGGCAAAGACAGACCCTTGCCCTCAAAGATCTTGCAGTCAAATGGAGGAGA